CTGCCGAATCCGCCACTGTATTCCTCGTGTCTGGGGGTGGGACAATTCTCTGGCCAATACTTTGCTTTCTCTCTAACATTTGCTTTCTCTCTAACATTTGCAGTTATTTCTAGGGGTATATTTTGAAGGGCATATAAAACTACATCAAAAACAAAGTGACAGGTTAGATACTTGATGGACTGTGTTAAACACTAAACCAGGAGCTTCTTTAATCATGTCTTCTTTAACCTCTCTCTCTACCAAAAAGCACTCATCTGCATAGAGAGACAGCACTGAAAAGATGTCAAATAATGGAATAAACTCTAGGAAATACTATTACAGATGGGTTTTTCTAGTTTGCTGAGACTGCAATATTCAGATCAGTATGTTAATTCATTCTAAACAAAGTATTTCTGTCTCACTGTTTCATTGATGACTGTGACGGTGGCATCAGCAACATTCATGGTAACTGGCATCCAGTCTTCCCTGCTCAAGGAAGTCATAAGACTTTCTATAGCATTGTTCAGTGTATCCATTCCTAAAGTATAAAGGAAAGAAAAGCCAGGATTATAATAAAGTCATAAATAAAAAAAGAAGAAAATAGGTATTAGTTCCATGTTGAAGTAGAATAAAGACTTCTGAACTACAAGGCATTTGGTGGTCGTGCGGGTTTCAGAAGATTTTCATGTTATTGGTTCATGTTTTATTTCTCAGTCTATAAAAGCAGAATATCTGCCAGAATCCTGACACTTAAGAGGGTGGCAGGTCATTCAGGTGCCTCAGTCTATCCCTTTAGGCCTTCCCCTTACTCTCCTGGTGAAAGGGTGCTACAAAAGGGTCTTGCCCCAGCAGCAGCCCCTCAGCATCCTGCCTAAGGAAGTGTGGGTCTGAGCAAGATCACATGCACTAGCTAGCCCCATGCTCTCCCTTTGCAGGCCTAGCAGCGAGTCATATGTTGCTGGAATACAAGTAAAGAGTGCTTCTGCTCCTTGCCTTCCTCCCATCTGGGTATGGCTAGCCAGAATTGAGCCCTTAGATACTATGCAAGTAATGTCTATGGTTAGATAACAGCACTAGTATTACATACCCACAGGCTTAGCTACAGGTAACATGCCCAAGTACTGCACATGGAACTTCTGTACCAGCTCTGTCTTTGGTGTTGGGAAATCTACTGCATGGGAAAAAAATCAATTTCTGTTTATCAACATTCACAGCAGGTAAAATATACTTTTATTTCACTGACCGCAGAAAATAGCTTATCAGGGAACTGCACTCAGAAGGTATTGTATTGATTACAGTGGATCTGCTCCCCCTCCTGCTTAGACAAGAGGGATACACCAAGTATTTTCTAAGGGAATTGAGGAGGAGGAGGTGATACAACTCTTAATTTCTGTAAACTAAAACTGGGTCACGTTCTACCACTAGGCTATAAGGAGACTTAGATTTGTATAAACGTGTCACTAAGGCACGCAGAGCAAGTCTCACATACCACACAACTGGGCGCTCTTTTTAATTCTATACCTAGTAAATGTCCCACCTGTGTGCCAGGAGAAACCAGTATCTCTGTCTGAATAGCAACTGATGCAAAAAAATACAAACAACCCCCACCCAAAAAACCCCCATGACAAAATGAGGGTTGAGATATCTGATGAAAGCTAGTGGATTTAACACATTTTTGTATTAAGTTCACTCGAAGACGTGTGTATATCTAATCTGGAATGCTGTCAAAACTTCTACTATTAATCTTACATTAATAAAAACACACAAAGCCACTTTTCTTTTATGATGCGCTAAGGGGTGCAGCAGATTGGCCTCCTCCTAGGCTTTGAACCTTACAACTGATGCTGAAACCCAGAAGAAGTTTGAATCTGCTATAACTCCTCTGAACCTATGATTAATTGGAATACATTGTACTTGTATGCCAGTCTGGCATAACATTTCCATGGCTAAATTGTATCTTAAAGTAAACCAGAGAAAATGAACAAGTCGATATAACCAAACAAGACTGCATTACTCTGAACAGAAACAATAACATATTTTTAATGTAACAAAGACTTTTGTCAGCTACAGTATTTAAAAGATCCTGGTAACCTTTGTTTCTACTACATTTTGGTTAAAAACAATATTATTCAGGGACTGTCTAAAATGGGGCCATGACAGGGAGATTAAATTCTGACACAGTACCTTGCAGAGGAACATCTAGGGTGGCATTTGTCCGGTCTTGCAATGAGCTGCAAGCCACAGCTTTAGCATTCTTCCGTTCAGCCATAATCTGAAGAAGACGGCGATAATACAGCATTTTTTCCAACATATAGTATAGTAGCAACTACAAGTATAAATTTACTCTTATTACAACCCTAATCTCTGAAGTCCACAATATATCAGATGCATGTGACTATAAGGCATCCTTTTAAGATACTAAAATTAGTTTTCCTTTATTTACTTACAATTTTTTTTGAGGCATAGAACTCTAAGCTCCCTACATCCATGACAGATATAGGAAGAGGAAACCTGGTCTCTAATCTGCATTTACTACTGCTACAAATACTACAGGAGATTCCTGTATTACTTGTACATGTAGTAGGCAAAAACATTTAGACAGAAGTAGGGCTTTTAAACAGATGATACCATTTTAACAGTTCTTTTGAAGTACTGGTTCCCAAATGAACATAATTTAATCTAGTATTTGACATTTGAGATATAATTTGCTATTATTATTTTTCTACTTAACATCCCACAACTTTCATCTATAATAGCAAAAAATCTTTAGACTATGCACACTGGCCCAATTCCCAGAGACATCATGGGTTTCAAGAATCTATAACGTTCATCTTTCCATAGTTTATTGGTGCCGCTCACACCCCTTCCAAAAATTCTTAGAGTCATTTCTCATCAGAGATAAAAAACTAAGAACAAAAGACAGCAATAGAGGACTGATTATATAGCACCCTTCAGGACCACTCAAGTGGTTAGTAAAAGAATAGGTTATTTAAATTAACTTGCCTTAGAACAGATTTCGTGCAGACTTGTGGCAATGGCTTTTGCTGGTGTGTCACATCGAAATACGTGACATTTCAAAATTCTTGTGTCTTTGTCTCTTGCTACATAAGCAAAGTCTCTGTGCAAAAAAATGAATTAACACATTAGAAACAGCAGCAGCTACAAAACAACTGCTTTAATTTAAGAAGGATATGTCTGAGTTGTCAGAGAAAAAAAAACCATTCCATAGCCAAAACAGCCACAACTGCATTAAATTGCATATCCATGGAACACATTACTAAGCTTTGATGCTTAATGTATATAATTAAAGAGCTAATTACAACTTGCTACCATTGAAAATTCATTGAACTTTCAACCTATATCTCCTACTGCTAATGTAAATGTACAGGGAAATTTACAAGAATATTTCATTAAATGCAGAAGGAAAAATAGATAAAGAAGGAGAGATAAACTGTATTCTTTTCTTTTTATCTTCTAAAATGCTAGCAATTCAGGCAAACTGCACACAACAGCCTGAATAAAGAAAAAATGTTTTTGGAGTGTTATAGAAAGTGCTTATAATACGCAGATAGCAATTAGAGATCCTGTTGCAGAAGGGAGATGTCAACATGTAAACATGATGTCAACCTGCTGAAATAATAATTGGCTTAGATTTCTGACCTTGCTACATGGGCTGGAAGTTGAGCACCCCTAAGAAGTAACTTGGCTTTTGGTACCAAAGGAGGGTGCAGAATTAGGCACATCATCTGACCATTTCTGCCAAAGCTTATCACCCATGAAATAGCAGTTAGGTTTAAATCACTGGCTTTCCATCAGCATCTCTGCAATGAATGGAACAGCAGTTCACAGCCCAGGCTGCCTGCTGATATAGGATATTATCAACACATTGGTGGCTTTACATTTAGTTAAAATTCACCAGGTTTTCTTTCCAATTCTTACTAATACTTAAAAATAAGGATTAATAAAACCCAAACCCAAAACCCACACTTCACAATTATGGGATTGTGGAATACACTGGACCATGTGTACATCACAAGAACAGCAGACCTGAAGGAGCCTATTTATTAAGAAATTTCAGTAGTGCCTACCTAGTTACATACTTTTTTTTGTTGCCACCATGGACAGTAAGCTCAATATTCAGCTGATATCAGTCAGAACAGCTCCTTGGTCCAGCATTTCAAAATTAAAACTAAGAATTCCAGATGGTTTCCTTTCACTAGGCCTTAAGGTGAACCACGGAAAGGGTTATAGTTCAACTGTACTTGACAAACTACTAGCTATGGAAAAAAAATAAGCTTCAGAGCTACATAAAACTTGTCAATAGTATACCTTTCATGACTAACAACCCTGCTGAAGGGCTTGTCGGCAAACTGGTAAGCGATTCGGGTTCTAAAGCCATACTAACACTTCTGAAGCGATTCCCAATTGGCTTTGGCATGGTGAGTACATATTTCTGAAGTAGTTTTGAACTACCACCTTCTAATTTATTCTTTATAACATTTTTGTTTTTCACTTGTCATTTCACTTGCAAACATTTACAGGCACTCCTCACTTAACAACCGAGTTCCATTCCTGTGACTAGGTCATTAAGCGAATTGGTTGATAAGCGAGGAGCCGCCCCTTGATACTGCGTGCCTTGGCTTGAGACGCCACGCTGCCGTTTCAAAGACCAAAGTGCTCGTACTTACAACCAGTTCTCGTACTTACGACCAGTTCTCGCTGGTTGTAAGTCCGCGTGGTCGTTAAACAGGTAGGTCGTTAAGTGAGGAGTACCTGTAGTTAGTTACAATTGCAACATGGTAACCATGCTCTCTAAACTAGTGATTCACAACCAGAGTGCTGTAGAGATCCATTCAGGAGTCCTATGGATAGCCACACAATGTTAGACTGTTAAGTGTGTGAACACGAATTACAAGATAAACCCAAAGATTTCAAATACGAATCCACAGTGTTAAAAAAAAATTCTGACCTGTTGTGGTCTTCCTGAGTTCTTCGTAACACAAGAATCACTCTTATTATTTTTATTTAGTCAAAAAGCAAGTGTAAACTAAGAGCTGACATTTTCCATTGGTTGCCTTAAGTCTAGCGAGGGATGCCTTGAGTCTAACAAGGTTGAGAACTAGTGCTCTAAGCTAATGGATATGGAATTGCAATCATAACTGTAAAAGGGTGCTTCTGAATAGGAATTCTCTCTCTCTTTCACAGACACACAAACCCCCATGTAAGAAAGTTTATTGGTAGTAACTATGGCCTTAAGCTAGCAGAAGACATGCATGAAATCAGACTCCAGAGCACTTCTCACTGTGGGATCAGTCTTATGGAGTATTAATTTAACTTGTGAACTTAAAATGTTGTTAAAATCCATTTTATTGCTATTTATTACCATTCACCATGCACCTCAATCAATACTCCTCCTTCAAGGACTTGTAAACAAGTGAGTTATGAGGGGTTTTTCAAGCTGATCTTTGAAGAAGAGTGCCCTATGCTACTTCACTAAGTAATTTACAATTGCCCCTCAGCAGAAACCTACTATAATCAAAAGATTTCTGTGCAGATTTAAGAGTCCTTTGTAATGTCAAGGCCAGAGAAGACCATTAGCTTGGAGGAATAGCACATATAATTTCAAATATAAGAGAGATCTGGTAGTGCTTTCTGTTAGGGATAAAGTTCTCTGTCAAATGGTTAATTTATTATAAAATATACACAACACCTAAAATGAGCCAAAGCCACAAAAGCAAATCCACTAGTGTCTGGAAAGCATGCCAGTGAAATCTAAGATTATAAAACAGCATTAGAAATTCTTGCACTCTGCTTGACTGGTAGCTGTGGCAATATCTTGGCACATTACCAGTGCTCTAAATTACTTTGCTTTACTGAATAGCATTGGACAATGTGCTCTAAGTTCACAGATGCATGTTGCACAAAAGCTCCCACAGCCTAGGAATATCCTGCCCTGTTTCCTTGAGTCTCATTGTTTGATTGCAAAGATATCAAGTCTTAGCTCAATATGAGCAAAATATGCCATTATTTAGGATGCACCCCATTTCTTAATGGAGGTGGTTCAGGGACACTGCACAAATAAAAACTGACCAAGCAACTAAAACAGGAGGCAAGGCAGAACTAGATAAAGACTGAACTCTTCTAAAAAATAGAAAGAAGGGCCACAGCAGGCTACAATTATGGTTTAAGTCAGAAGCACAGTGTTTTCCGCTGAAGTCTAACAGTGAGAGAGATGGGCTGGAGGTGTCGTCTCAGAAGTGTCAATTCCCCATCCAGGTTGTATTGTGGAAGACTCCTATTGACACTGAGAATCATACACATCGTTAGGGGACATGGAGACCATACAACTTTTTTTGGAACCTAATTCCAAGCCCAAAATAATTCCAGAAGTCACCTAATTCCAAGTCCAATATGCTACTTCTGTCACCATCTAGCCAAGGTAACCAGCCTGTACATCAGGCATCCTGTGAGGGCATAGGGAAGGAAACCTAAGAGGCAGTAAACTTTGTTATGTGGCCACAGCAGAAGCTACTCAGCAGAGTGGGAAGATCCACCTCTTCACTTAGTTGAGCCATGCAGATGCTTCATATCCTGACCCCCTGCAATGTTCCATTGTGCCAGGTTCTCTCTGCATTCACTGATGGGGCAAACACTGCCTATGAGCATTTTATATTTATTTCAAATGTATTGCTTTTCATTATTTAAGAAGAATTGATAGTGACCCCTACATCTATGTTGCCCAACACTTTCCAGGATAAAGATTCTTGTGATTTTATTTCATTTAAGAAATATTAACACCTTTATTGTTTGCAGCAAACCTTTGATATTCAGCCTCAAAAGCCCCTTAGACTATAAGCGCCTTTTATTTGTCCCATGAAATTCCAATCAGATTCAGATGTGCGTTAAAAATCACCATTTTCCATTTCCAGCTTTTCTCACAAAAATGTTGTCAGGATGCCATAGAAAAAAAAAAACCACTGAACATTTTAAAGGGCTTAGCCAATAAGCAGGCTGGCCTCATAAAGTGACTGAATTAAGGAAGTAATCTTATATCAAGCATGCCCAAACTGCTACTAGCATTTACAATCTGAATACAATTTTTTCTGTGTAATTTTTTGTATGAAATAGTCTACAGTCTATAAGGTAGTATCAAACACACAGCATCAGTGGCAATCATAACAGCAAAAATTATTCAGTAAAGGATTTTTATCAAGTTTCAGTAAATATGATGTTTCAGATTGCAATCATGTGCTTAGCTTTCAGTATGTGAAAACCCCTATTGCATGGGACTGACTGCTCATCTGCAATTTAAGCAAGTGCATTAATCTTTGCAGTCTCTGTATTCTTTTTAGTAGGAGAGACGTCTCTCTTCAAAATCATATATTATGCACAAATCTGCAACACCATCTGCTTCCAAATCATCAATCAAAATTAGTAAACAAATTATGGTCTTTCCTTCTGACAGGGCACAGATTATATGACAACTTCAATAATTCATCAAGTCACTAAATGTCTTAAACATCCCTAAGTACAGTGCTACAACATAGTATAAACTTCTGTTATAGTGACATGGACATTCTTTGAAAAAGCGTTGCAAATCAGGTTGCTAAGAATCTCAGGACTCCTGTAGCCAAGACTACCACTGTTTTATACTTTAAGGAAACAAAACAGTAACTTCTCACTCTTGCACAAAAGTTGTTAAGGATGTGAGGGCTCTAGTTCATACTCTGTCTGCATTGGCAATGGTAACTTTTGGAGAAGGTATGATGACATTCTTCCAAGTGACTGGGCAGAGAAGAGGATACTGCCTTCGAGGATAAGATGCCTTAAATATTGAACAGGTCACTAAACTCATCATCTCTGCTTTCTCCTCCTCCCTGTCTTTCTCTGGAATCCTTCTGGGTCACTTACTGTTAACCTTAATTTTGTCATGGCTCACTTGAAGTTGATTAACATTTAAGTGAGATTTATGTGAAACTAGCACTCCCAGTATGATAAAATGCAGAACCCAAAACGTTGCATGCTGGAAGCTTCTGGCAAAGGCAAATTTTTCCTTGTTGCCATTTCTATCCCTTTGTCTTGCTGGAAAATTAAGAGGAAAAGTTAAATGTTTATGGA